CATGGGTACATACTCACATCAGGCTTTAGGACTTGCCTTGGGGAAAGCTGGAGCCAAGCTGACCCTAAATAAGTTGAGAGAGAACACACAGGGCACAATGGCATTCGTCTAATGCCAGCATTTGAGAGACTGAAGCAAGAGGATTATGAGTTCAAGGCAACTTGGACTACATATGGAATACACATGGGCTACAGCAAGACACTGTCTCCCCTGGTGTGGTGGCACATGCCTGTGATTTTAGCATTTGATAGTTAAGAGGCTAGCCTGGGCTATGTCGAACACTTTCAAAAAAGGGGCAGGGGCTAAGGAGATGGCATATTTGATAGTGTCTGCTGTCCAAGCAACAGGACCTGAATCAGATGCTTGGTATTCACATAAAAGTCTCATGTTGAGAAGCAGCATCAGCAGGTTTGAGCCACTCTAGTTGAGTTGGTGACCTCCAGGTTCAGCGAGAGCCTGGTTTCAAAATATAAAGAGAAGTGAGGCTTGCTGGGCACACTTTTATCCCAGTGCTCAGGAGGCAGAAGTGAGGCCAGCCTTATTATAGTGAATTTAAGGCCAACAAAGGCTCCATAGTGAGATCCTGTCTCAGAAGGAAAAGTGGAGAGCCACTGAAGGAGACACCTCACATGAACCCAGGGCTTCCACATACATATCCACATGTACATGCAACCACACACAATCCCACAAAAACTTAAAACCAAACAGCCAGGTATGGTGGATGCCCATGAGACTGATGCAGGTTTGTTGCCAAGTCAAGACTAGCCTGTGCTAAGGTGTGAAACTCACAAATGAAAGCCCAGCTACCCAAGCAAAACAAAACAAGCTGAAAGCCACAGGGTAACCAAACACACGTGTTTGGTTCAGATGGTGTTAAGGCCTGAGGGTTTCTGCGGGCCAGAAGTGGCTGCAGAGACGGATTTGTCACAAGATGTTCAGGAAAGGCCTCTCCAAGGTGATATAAATGTGGCTGTCAGGACCAGAGCTCAGACAGGGAACAGAATGCCTTGAGGCTGACCCTGTCTGAGGAATATGCAGTACAGATCAAAATCAGAAAAGATGGTTGTCCTGGGCTGTGAGAACCTTTAGGATACTGCTCCTATGCAGAGAAGAGAGGCAGCAGAAGCTGGTGAACCACAATGGTGACAGGTCCGGTTGGTTCTGGTGGGTAAGTAGGTGAGACTGCCAACACTGCCAGTGGTTTGGATATTGGTTGAGAGGAAGGAAAGATACTCCCCAGGTTTCTTGAGCAGTGGAAGGTGGTTGCAGGCTTGGCAGAGGTGGAGCTTTTGTACAGCAGGGTGGACTGAAGGACCCTCAGGGTGTCCTGGGGCCCAGTGCATGTAGCACACCCCGCTGTTCAGGCTAGAGACACAAACCTGAAGGTCTTGGAGGTAGAGAGAGTGAGAGTCGGACAGCCCTAGGGGCTGCCAGAAGGTGGGAGGACCAGGAGAGCCTGTCCTAAACCATAGGGCTACTAGAGAGTGGAGGGCCAGGAGAGCCTGTCCTGGAAGCAAAGGAAGACAGCAGGGTTTCTGTGAGTAGAATGTGATGCTTTAGGCAAGGGAGGTGAGGACTCAGTGGAGTCCTGGGTTTGGCCTGAAGGCATTGTGGCTCTTGACAGCAGATGAGGAGCCCAGAAGTAGGATTTCAGGGCATGTATGCAGCTTGATCTCTGGGGCCCTGCCTCACCCAAGCAGGGTTCCCCCAGCCCAGTGGCTGTTCCCCTCTGCCCTGCTCATGGCATCCTGCTCTCCCTTCCTCCCCATACCCCCAGACTGGTGCTTGCCTGGGGTGAGTCAGGGCTCTCCCGTCATCTGGGCCCCCTCCGGGCTCTGGGAGGCTGCCACTGGAGCCCTGCCTCTTCCTGGCAGGGAGCATCGAGTACAGCTGTCCGGCCTCCAATGAGTGTGAGATCACCAAGCGGAGACGCAAGGCCTGTCAGGCCTGCCGCTTCACCAAGTGCCTGCGGGTGGGCATGCTCAAGGAGGGTGAGCGCTGGGCAGTGCCTGGGTGAGATGGGGGTGGTCCAGGAGGTTGGGGGTGGGGGGAAAGTAGGGCTCTGTGGGGCAAGTATTTCATGAACACAGTCTGGCTCTATAATCAAAGGTGTGCGTCTGGACCGTGTCCGGGGTGGGCGACAGAAGTACAAGCGGCGGCCAGAGGTGGACCCATTGCCTTTCCCAGGCCCCTTCCCTACTGGTCCTCTGGCAGTAGCTGGAGGACCCCGGAAGACAGGTGAGACCTTGTGTTCCTAAGCTTTGGGATGGTGGTGGGGCAGCCATTGGAGAGGCCTGTTTGGTTTCCTTACATTTCCTGGGACCCAGGTCTTACCTTCTTTCATTTCTTCCCAAAAGACAATTATGAAAATGTCTTCATGAACTGAAGATGTAGCCCTGGGTTTGATCCTTAACACTGCATACATCATGCACACTTTAATACCAGCCCTCAGGAGGCAAACCAGGATTGGGAGTTTGGGATCATAGCTGGCTGTATAGTATGTTCAAGGACAATAAACTACTACACAGGTCAGACACCCAGGTAGAAGCCTGACCAGGACGGCAGTGTCTTAGGGTTTCTGTTGCAGTGCTAAACACCATGACAAAAACAACTCGGGGAGGAAGGGTTTATTTCCGCTGACAACCCTCAGGTGTCCATCACCGAGGGAAGTCAGGGCAAGGGCTCAAGGCAGGAGCTGCTAAGAGGCCATGGAAGGCTGCTTATTGGCTTAATCCTCTTGCTCAGCCTTTGTTACACTGCTCAGACCCACCTGCCTGGGAATGACACCTCCCATGGCAGATGGGGCTCTTCTACATCAATCATTAATCAACAAGGCATTTTCTCAATTTAGATTTCCTCCTCCCAGAGATATGTATGGGTCAAGTTGACAAAAACAAATCAGTAGAGAGGGATTCTTTTTTTTTTTTTAAGGTGTTGGGGAACCAGGGCCTCCTAAATGTTAGACTGGAGCTGTCTGTAAGCACCACCCAAGCCTCAGGGAGAGATTTTCTAGTGTTCACAGCCTCTCTCTTAGGAAGCGAGCACTGCAGCTTCTGGCATAGCAGCGATGCTCAAGGAGGGCCAGAGGGAAATGCCTGGAAAGGCACCTGACTCTTGAGGGGCTTTGGAGGTCTGCCGGATCTGTGTTCATGACTCTAGTTCATGACTCTGCACCTGTTACTGTAGCCCCAGTAAATGCTCTGGTGTCTCACCTGCTGGTGGTTGAGCCTGAGAAGCTGTACGCCATGCCTGACCCAGCAAGCCCTGATGGACACCTCCCTGCTGTGGCCACTCTCTGTGACCTTTTTGATCGAGAGATAGTGGTCACCATCAGCTGGGCCAAGAGCATCCCAGGTAAAGGGCCTGGTGGTCAGCATCCCTGAACAGGTAGGCCACATTGGAACCTGCTGCATTCTTGACCTGTCCTGTTTCCCCTGCCCTCCAGGCTTCTCGTCACTGTCACTGTCTGACCAGATGTCAGTACTGCAGAGTGTGTGGATGGAGGTGCTGGTGCTGGGTGTGGCCCAGCGCTCACTGCCACTGCAGGACGAGCTGGCCTTTGCTGAGGACTTGGTCCTGGATGAAGAGGGGGCCCGGGCAGCTGGCCTGGGGGATCTAGGGGCAGCCTTGCTGCAGCTGGTGCGGCGACTGCAAGCACTACGGCTGGAGCGGGAAGAGTACGTCCTGCTGAAGGCACTGGCCCTTGCCAATTCTGGTGAGTATCTAGACACATGCAGCTCTCCCCATCAGGCCCTCCAACTGTCAGTGATGGTGCACGGTCCCTTTCTGTAGATAAGGACAACTGGGGATTAATTACTGAAAATCACCAAGTAAGCCAACATCCTAGCACTGTGCTGACAAGGAAATAGTGGAAGAGAGTGTGTGGGGGTCGTGAGGTGGCCACAGGTGAGAAAGGGTGGGCCCTGGCTCACAGGCAGAGCAGCAGTGTGTCAGCCCACCCAGCAGTGCCCATATATGAACACTGCCCTTCAGTCACCTCAGCCAACGCCTCTCTCCCCTCCTAGACTCTGTGCATATTGAAGATGCTGAGGCTGTGGAACAGCTGCGTGAAGCCCTGCATGAGGCCCTGCTGGAGTACGAAGCTGGCCGGGCTGGCCCTGGAGGGGGTGCTGAGCGGAGGCGGGCAGGCAGGCTGCTGCTCACACTGCCACTCCTCCGCCAGACAGCAGGCAAAGTCCTGGCCCATTTCTATGGGGTGAAGCTGGAGGGCAAGGTGCCCATGCACAAGCTGTTTTTGGAAATGCTTGAGGCCATGATGGACTGAGGCAAGGGGTGGGACAGGGTGGGGTGGCTGGCAGGATCTGCCCAGCATGGGGTATTAGCCCCAAGGGGGCAAAGCTGGAGTCTGGGCAGTGCCACAGCCTGCTGGCAGGGCCAGGGCAATGCCATCCGCCCCTGGGAGCAGGCTTCATGCCCTCCCCTCCCCCCTCTAGGGGGCTGTCAGAAGCCAGGAAAGTGAATGCCCAGGTGTGGGCACAGTGCTGCCCCTTGCAAGCCATAATGTGCCCCCAAGAGTGTCGGGGGCCCTTGCGGAAGCCATAGGGGGCTGCAGGGGATGTGTGGGAGGCAGAAACTGATCTCAGGGAGGGAAGGGGATGGAGGCCACAGTCTCCCAGTGGGTGATGCTTTGCTGCTGCTTAATCCGACCTCCTCTCCAGAGCAGAGGGGGGCTTGGAAAGCAAAGGCCCCTGTCCCTTCGCTCCTCTCCTCATTCGCATTGGGCATTAGTGCCCCCCCTTGAAGCAATAACTCCAAGCAGGCTCCAGCCCCTGGACCCCTGGGGTGGCCAGGGACCCCTATCAGCTCCCACCTCAAGGGGTGGGGGACAGCACTGCCTCTATGCCCTGCAGAGCAATAACACTATATTTATTTTTGGGTTTGGCCAGGGAGGCGCAGGGCCATGGGGCAAGCCGGGGCCCAGAGCCCTTGGCTGTACAGAGACTCTATTTTAATGTATATTTGCTGCAAAGAGAAACCGCTTTTGGTTTTGAACCTTTAATGAGAAAAAAAAAATATACTATGGAGCTCAAGAACACGGTGGTCAGTGAGTCACTGGGGGGAGATCGGGGTCACACATGACGTACCTACTTAACAGACTATACAACAGATACACACGGTCACAAAATGCCAACGTGGTGGCCAGCCAGGCTACGTCTCAGTCTCCTCATCATTCAACAGCATATTGGGGATTCCTCGGCTGATGGGGAAAAGACGACCGGATTCGGGGCACTGCAAGGTGCCCTCCAGTACATCAACCTGAGGGGGGAGTAGGGCAAAGCTGAGCATGGAGAGCCTCCATCTAAGAGGGTTCGGCAGGTGATGATGGGCAGGATTCTCACCTCAAGCAACACGTGGTGCATCTTCCTCAAAAATGTCTCGTCGTGCTCATAATCTTCAGTGGGCTCTTTGGGTACCTCGGCCAGGTTTAACTGTGGAAAGGAGGCTTACGTGGTCACCGGGCATGCAAACACCACTCCCGCCCTGGCAGGAAAGTGGGCCCGAGCCCGCCCCCGGGGGTGACAGAAGAGGCGGGATCCTCACGGTGTCCGCCGCCTGCACAAGCGCCGCCCACTCCACTTTGGGGATCATCCGCGCCACGAAGTTGGGGTTGAACTCCACGGGGTTGATGCGGACCTCGGTGGCCTGCGGGGAGGAAAGGTTTACCAAGGTAGAGCCGGGTCCCGGTGTCTCTATCCTGAGCTACAAGGGCGGCAAACGTTCGTACAAGTACCTGCAGGCGCAGCGGGAAGCCGCGCGTGCCCACGCCCCGCACATGGGAGCTCAGGAGATTGTGAGTGAGCAGTTTCATGTTGCCACTCTGGAGCGCGCGAGGCCGGAACCGGAAGGAGTCCGCACTTTATGCCACTTCCGCTGTTGAAGCAGTTGGACACTGCCGTTCCGGAAGTGGCGAGCTTACTGGAACTTTTGGGACTTTGCGGTCGCAGAGGGATGGGGAAGATTGTGCTGGGTCAAGTCTTGATACCGGAAGTGTTTCTCCGGGAGCTTGCCACGCCGCTCGCGGTAAAACGTGCGTACAATGCAAATCACATGCAAAGCAGCTGCACTGCGGGGCTTTCATTGAGTGTAAAACAAGCACATTTGAGGCTTAGCCAGATTGTCCCCCGACTCCTCTTTGCACCCAACGGGTCAGAAACTTGCATCGGTAAAGTAGGCATTTCTTTCTGCGTACAAATAAGGCACAGGACCCTTGGAAGCCCCGTTGCGTCATTAAGCGTCACGGCCCAGCCCCTGTAAGCCAGCGCGGTGGGTGCGTGGGTGCGGCGAGCTGAAGTGGGCGGAGCGATCTGAGCACCCACCTCCGGTAGGCAGAGCCGTCAGCGGGTGGGCCGTACCGGCGGGGAGGGCATGGTGCTTCCAGGGCTACGAGTGCTGGGCAGTACAGCCGGTTCGGTGCTCCGTTCAGCGGCTACCTGGACGTGCGCGGCAAGCAGAGCAGGCCGGAAGGCAGCAGCGTGTGGCAGGGCCCGCAGCTTCAGCAGCGCCGCTGTGGCCATGGCTCCGATCAAGGTGACCCGGTGGGGACTCGGGCTGTCCTCCTTGGTGCTTTCTTCCTGTCATGCTTTCTGCAAGACCCTCTTGCTGTCCCTTCTTCCTGGGATATTCCTTGAGCCGCCCTCTCACATCAACTATGCGACGTCCGGGGACAAGTCCCCATCATTTTCCACCGACCGAATGCTGTGTCATTTTTCACATGTAGTCGCTTAGTGACAGGGTCTGTGTTTTCCACTGCTGTCTCCTTCCTGAATGCTTCCCCCTCCCGGATTTGTGTGTGTGTGTGTGTGTGTGTGTGTGTGTGTGTGTGTGTGTGTCTTCGTCTTCCTGGGAGCTTCTTGAACCTACCCCCTCTCCTATTCCTATTCATCATTATATATTTCTGGCTGACCTCGAACTCCTAGAGATTCACCTGTCTCGGCCTCTGGAGTGTTGGGATTAAAACTCCCTTTCTTTAAAAATCCATCAATCAAACAAACAAACCCTTCCTAATATGTATTTAGTGTGTATTTGATAACGCCTGTGGGCATATGGAGGTCAGTCTGTCTTTCTACCATGTCCATTATGGGAATAAAACTCAGGCGATCAGGCTTGGTGGCAAGCCCCGTTACCTGCTGACCTCAGCCTCCTCCCCTCCCCCCGTTTTTTTTTTTTTGGTTGGTTTCTCCTATGGCTCCAGGAAGCTTCCAGGAGGCTTGACACTCTCTACCTACTCTGTGAGCCTATGTCCTGAACACTTTGGCTTGGACATCTTCTCTGGCTTTCCAACACTTTTCTTTTGTCCTGTGGACAGGATTTTACCCCTCCCTGTTGCCAGGCGCTTTCTCAACCTCAGGACAGCTCTCCACAACTCCTCTGTGCAATGATCGTGTTGGGTGGCTGGTTTACCCAGCATTGCAACACTTTGGGAAGTCTCTCCCTTTCTCTGTTGCCACCAACTGGTCCTAAGCAGAGCGAGGCTTCCTGGAAACTTGTAAGATGTTGAGCAACTGGGAGATACAGGGGACAGAGGACAGAGATGGACCCTTGGAAAGTGACAGGCGGCACTTTATTGGCTGGGTGTCAGCACTGGGTCCATCAAGGTCTGTCTGCCTGGCTGTGGTTTACTGGGCCTCTCTTTACTCGGTTTACCCTGGAGTCCTTGTCTCCAGGTGGGAGATGCCATCCCCTCAGTGGAGGTTTTTGAAGGGGAGCCTGGAAAGAAGGTGAACCTCGCAGAACTGTTCAAGGACAAGAAAGGGGTGCTGTTTGGAGTCCCTGGAGCGTTTACACCTGGCTGTTCTAAGGTGAGGCGTCTCCTTTCCAGAATCAGAAACTGGGACCAGGAATGTGGGAGAAAAGGGCCCTGGTTAAATCTAACACCTCTGAGTGATCCTGCTGGTGGAAGCACTTGGGCTGGTGGGGACTTGGGCTAATGAGACAAAGTTTTGCCTTTGGGATTTCATCATCTGGACCATAGATTTTTAGGCTCAAGCTTCCTTATAGCCAAGGCAAAAAGGAAGTGGCATGCTTCACACTGGTTTCCTGAGCCTTTTCAGAGGTATTAGGAAACAGGAGGATGAAGAACACACTGAGGAACACCAGCAGTTCTCTCTTTCTCTCTCTCTCTCTCTCTCTCTCTCTCTCTCTCTCTGGTTTTTCGAGACAGGGTTTCTGTGTGTAGCCTTGACTATCTTGGACTCTGTAGACCAGGCTGGCCTTGAACTCATACCGATCCACCTGCCCCTGCTGGGATTACAGGCGTGTGCCCTTTTCAGTAGTAATTGTCTCTCTTTTGACACTTTGTTCCCCTCTTAGACCCACCTGCCTGGGTTTGTGGAGCAAGCTGGAGCTCTGAAGGCCAAGGGAGTGCAGGTGGTGGCCTGTCTGAGTGTTAATGATGTCTTCGTGACCGAAGAGTGGGGTCGAGCCCACAAGGCGGAAGGCAAGGTGAGGTGTGGGGCCTGTGAGCAGTCAGGGCCAGGTAGGAGGTTTCCTTGTCTTTTATTACAATATATTTCCTCATTTTGGGTGTGGGGTGGGCGCCCATGCCATGGTGCACAAGTGGAAGTTGGAGGATAACCCGGGAGACTTGGTTCTGTCCTCCTACTATGTGGGGTTCTGGGACTGAACTCAGGTTGTCAGGCTTGGCGCCAAGCACCTTACTCACTGAGCCATCTCTGGAGGTTTCCTTGTGACACGGATTCCTCTCTCCCTCAGGTTCGGCTCCTGGCTGACCCCACTGGAGCCTTTGGGAAAGTGAGTGTACTACCCTTCCTCTAGCTTGCAGTTGGTCCTGGAGGGGTGTGTTGTGTGGGGAGCAGCCCCCGGCCTGTTTGGGGGTTCCTGACTCCTGTCTCTGTCCTCTAGGAGACAGATTTGTTACTGGATGATTCTTTGGTGTCTCTCTTTGGGAATCGCCGGCTGAAGAGGTAAAATGGAAGCATTCCCCCTTGGCACTGTGGGCCCTGGCTGCTGCCTGGGCTTCTGCAGCTGTACCTCTTTCTGGCAGGTTCTCCATGGTGATAGACAATGGCATAGTGAAGTCACTGAACGTGGAGCCGGATGGCACAGGCCTCACCTGCAGCCTGGCCCCCAACATCCTCTCACAACTCTGAAGGTGGCTAGATAAAGGTCCTCTGCCCCTCCCATCTCTCTCACTCAGCTCTGGGCCAAATGGGCTAGTGCCCCCTCACGGAGTAGGAGGCACTTAACTAGAGCCTTCGCCGTATTTCTGCAGTAAACAATCTAATTTGTGTCTTTGCCTCTGGTGTGGAATTGTCTGCTTTGCCCTTGCTCTTGGGGTAGCCACATGTATAACTGAGGTCAGTGGCAGAAAGAAGAGCAACAACCAGGACAGGTTTCTGGAAGGTAGCATCTAAACAGCCTAGAAGCTGAGAGAAAGCCAGAATTGGTTTTGCTTGGTACATCCTGGGACAGCTGGTGCTTGGTCTGGTCTAGGAGCTGCCTGATTCCATTTACTCTTTTTTTTTTTTTTTTTTTTTTGGTCAGAGTTTCTCTGTGTAGCCTTGGCTGTCCTGGACTTTCTTTGTAGATCAGGATTGACTCAAACTCACAGAGATCTGCCTGCCTCTGCCTCCCTGAGTTTGAGGGCAGGGATTAAAGGTGAGTGCTACTACCACCTGTCCATCTATTTACTCTTAATACACAGAGCAGGAAGCTTTGCTTCAGGCCTTCCATCTTGCAGACTCCAGTTTCTCCAGGAGCACTCTGGGTACTGACTTCATCAGAGCACACAGTACCAGGCTGAACTTCCTGGGGGGAGGAGCCTGTGGTGGGTGGGCATGAGGGGCCAAGGGCCAGGGACATCAGTAGGGCTTGGGCCCTCAGGAGATACAGAACCTGCTCCTGGCCCTTGGAATCCATGTTTGGGGCAGCAGGGGATAGCTGAAAAGCCCTTGCTGTGTTTAGAAGGTTGTAGTCCATCAAGTAAACACTTAGCACCTGACTGATCTGTGTAGACCCAGTGAGGAACATAACAGACCTGTCCAGCACTCAGGACCAAGCCAGCTCTGCAGCAGCCAGATGATGGGAGGCCAGGCAGGGCGGAACCAGCTTGCCTCCCAGCCTTCTCACACCACAGGACTTCTGCAGGGCACAAGTCAGATTCCAGTCTGAGCCAGTGTGTGGAGCTGGGAACTGGGAGGCAGAAGAGGGGCATTGAAAGATCTGTAATGGGATGCCAAGGGGAGGGCGCTGGGACAAGTGGAGCCATGGGCTTGCAGGAGAGAGGCCTAGGTGGTAACTCTGTGCTCTCCTACTAAGGGGACCCACAACTCAGCTACCTGAATGGCCAGTGCACCCATCTTTTCTCCTGAGATTCTCTCATCCCAGCCACCATCCTTTATTTTTTAAAAAAGATTTTAATGTATTTATTAATATAAAGTATTTTAATTATATGTATACCTGCATTCTAGAAGAGGGCAACAGATCTCATCATAGATGATTGTGAGCCACCATGTGGTTGCTGGGAATTGAACTCAGGACCTCTGGAAGAGCAGCCAGTGCTCTTAACCTCTGAGCCATCGCTCCAGCCCAGCCATCATCCTTTATGTCACAGGTCACTTCTCATCCGTTCTCCTCAGATGTTTGGGTCACGGTGACCCTGACAGGCACAGTACTTGTTCCTTCCCAGATCTCATCCCTCAGATCTTTACGGTCCAATGAAGGAGTTGAGGAACAGGGCTTCCTCCCACAGGGTCCTGCATGGACTAGTGCAAAGCACGGGCGCCTGAGCTGTGCCTCCTATTCCTCCCTGCTGCTTCCGACCACCTCAGCAGTCAGTCACTCTCACAGATGCCAACCTCCATTTCTCACTGGCTGCCTGTTTTTCTCCAAACTTGTAAGACCTGTCAAGAAATGTCCCCTTCAGAGTCTGTTGCCACTGGCTGGGTCTCTAGGCTGAGAGAAAAGGATTTACAGGGCCCCAGTGGCACCTTTTGACAGCTTTGTGGGGGCTGGGGGCCCTGGTTGCACAGAGCCTGGGCTCCTCTTCCTGGGGTGGAATGTCCAGTGATTGAGCCAGCCCTGGGGCAGCTCCAGGCCCTTGAGTAGATGAACACCTGCCAGAAGAATGCAGTAGGCCCGGGCTTCAGGCCTGAGGTAAGGCTGGCCAGGCCCTGTATATTGGGCCTGAGGGCTTGGGAGGCCTGAGGCTGCTGAACCTGGAAGAGAGATTGGTGTCTTTGCTGGACTGTAGAAACCAAAGGGCCAATATTAAAACCAAACCATTGAACAAAATGTCCTAAAACAACCCAGACACACTTGCCTTGTGCTGCGGAGCAGGAAGCCTGAAGGTCAGCTATTAAGAGAGAGATTTGGAGCTGGAGAGAGGCTCCAGTGGTCAAGAGCACTGGCTGTGCTTCCAGAGGACCTGGGTTCAATTCCAGTACCCACATGGTAGTTCACAACCATGCAGAACTCCAGTTGAGGGCTTTTGATGCCTTCCCCTGTCATCTGTGGGCACTGTGCGTGTGTGCAGACATACCTGCAGGCACAACACGCATACACCTAAAAAGGGGGCCTGGCGTGGTAGCACATACCTTTAATCCTGGCACTCAGGAAGCGGCCTAGCCTGGTCTGTAAATTGAGTTCCAGGACAGCCAGGGCTGTTCCACAGAGAAACCCCGTCTTGAAAAAGACACCTCCTCCAAAAAAAAATATGGAAAAGAGAAAGTTGGGATGAGAGGAAGGGAGAAAGAGAGAGAGGAAGAAAGAAGGAGAAGGAGAGGTTTGCTCTTCACTGGGTTCAGGTGTCCAGAGAGCAGCATAAGGTGTTACATGTGTTAGGGTCTTTTGTAGCCCAGGCTGGCCTCAAACTCCACACATAGCCATGGGTGACCTTGAACTCATTGTCCTGTTCACTTTTCAAGTATTGCAACTACTGGTGGGACTACTGGGGGTGTATTCTTGAATCTTACCGATTTGCCAGTTTGAACATGTTTTCACCTGAAGACCCAATATGGCTGCTGGAATTCCACGTCTCACACCTGTAGTCTGACAAACAGAAGGGAATGCTGTAGTCTCTGCTTTAATTCCTGCCTGCAGGTTCCTGTCTTGGCTTCCCTCCACAATGGACTGTATGTTGTAAGCCAAATAAATCTTTCCCTCCCCAAGTTGTTTTTGGCCACAGCATTTTATCACAGCAACAGGAAGCAATCTGACCATGTTGGACACCCTGTGTGTAGTGTATTTTTTTTTTTTACATACTTGTGACATCGTTTAACTAATTAAACGTTAGGTAGCCCAGTCTGGACTGGAGCTTGAAATCCTCCTGTCTCTGGGCTGGAGGGATGGCTCAGTGGTTGAGAGCACTGACGGTTCTTCCAGAAGACCCAGGTTCAATTCCCAGCACCCACATGGCAGCTCACAACTGTCTGTAACTCCGAGATCTAACACCCTCACAGACGTATACATGCAGACAAAACACCAGTGCACATAAAATGAATGATTAAAAATAAATTCTCCTGTCTCAGCCTTGCATGTGCTGGATTGTAGGAATAAACTCCCCACCAACAAAGTGTAAGTTAGGCCCAGTGCAATCGTGTGCACATATGTGCACACAAGCGTGTCTGTCTCTTCAGTACAAGGCTATGTATATTGTTTATTGACCGTGATCACTGGCTTCTAACTCACTACCCAAGGCAGCCATAGAAACTAAAATCTCTCTCCTCCAAGGCTGCTCATAGATGCTCTAAATTCTATTCTCCATTTCAGAACTAACAATAATTCTTTGACCACGAGACCCTGAACCTTCTGGAGGGGACCAGTCCCATTCCCCGGAGGGAGGTGCTGCAGATGGGGCCAGCAAGAATCTGAGCCGACAGGCCGAACTGGCTTCCACGCCCAGTCTGGCCATTTCTGCCTAACCACTTTTAGTGAGGGTGTGGAACTTCAGTGGCTGCATGGAGAACCCAGATGACAGGGTTTGACGAGGTCCTCCAAACCACTAAATGAGCAGAGCCCTGAGAGCAGTGCAGTGTCCCGTCTGTCCCCCCCCCCCCCTCTATTTCTCCGCCTGAGGCTTTGTCTCTGTTCCTCTGCAGTGCTGGCAGTGGAGCCTTGCTTGGCCTTGCTAGGTAAGCAATCTCCTGCGGACCGACACCCCAGCCTTGTAATGCTCTTTATAATAAATCAAGCTGAAGTGTCTGAGTTTTCTGACATGCTCTGCAGATGAATTGTGCAGAAGGGCTTAGGATAAAGCTCAGTGACAGAGCACTTGCCTTGCATTCATTGCAAAAATAAGGCAAACAAAAGGAAATTAGTACTAAAAATGGGACTGGAGAGACAGTTCCATGGTTAAGGGCACTTGATGCTCTTATGGAGGACCCAGAATCCATTCCTACTACCCACCCGGCAGCTCACAACCATCAAGCAACCCCAGTTACAGGCAAATTCAATGCCCTCTTATAAACTGCAAGTGCTGGACGGGGGTGGGGGGGAGCGCACGTCTTTAATCCCAGCAGAGAGGGGGTAGGCAGATCTCTGAGTTCGAGGCCAGCCTAATTTACAAAAAGAGTCTGGGACAGTCATGGCTACACAGAGAAACCCTGTCTCAAAACAAAACAATAAACCTCTGCAAGCACCAGGCATGCCTGTGGCACACAGACATACATGCAAGCAAAGCACTCATACACATAAAATAAAAATAATATTAAAAGAGAAACACTGGTGTTGGAGGTTGGTCTGATGGTTGTATTTTGATGCTAATTACTGGCCCTCAAGATCTGGTTACTGCCTGGATACACCTAACCTTGTTGTGTAAACCTGCCTAAAACATTCTTCCAGATTGGTTGATTAAAAGGCCTAAACCCTGAGCAGGATAGAATGGGGTGAGCATGGCTAAGGTTCCTGGGCTTCGGATTCAAGAGAATCCCAGGAGACAGACAGAGGGGAAGAGAGGAGGAAGGAGGACTCCACAATGGGTTAGCGTGGAGAAGAAACCATGTGGGCCAGGAGGAAGGACTCCAAGGATGGCGTGGGTGGAAAAAACACCAAATATAAGCAAGTTTTCATAAGGGTCTGGATGGAAGGTGGCCCAGATAAGAATGGAGAAGGCAGATGGCATTGGATGGGGGCTGGGAAGTGGATGGTGAGTTTATTGAGATAGCGTAGGTAGAAATAACTGCCCAGCCCAAGGTAAATAGGCAATTACAACATCTAACAGGTGTCTGTGTCTTATTATTTGTGATATCGGGTTAAAGAATACTGCCGCAATAAGTATAGGTCGAATAATAA